CAAAACATACAAACTGCTACATTGATGAGAATACAGGAAGTCAGGGAACTTATATGCAGGGACCATCATTGAAATAATATAAAGGTATAATTTTGAAAAAATGATTTGATACAATGACTTGGAGTAATTAAAAACTTTTCTTTGGCCAGAGAGTGAAAAAAAAGAAACTGTCCCAAACGAAAAAAAGGGGGAAACAAAATACTATAACAAACTACTTACAAAACACATGTTTTGAAAGTATTCCGATAGTATAGCAAATCACATGCAAATGAGCTAACAAAACACTATAACAAGTTACTTTGAAAACACTCTAACAAACTACTAACAAAACACTTTAACAAAATACTTACGAAACACTCTAACAAGCTACTAACAAAACACTTTAACAAATACTTACGAAACACTCTAACAAACTACTAACAAATCATAAGTAACAAATCATCAATAAACCACTAAATTTGAATTTTTGAAATTGTAATTAGCAAATTCACAAGTCTTTGAAAACATCTAAACACAATCTCATATTGAAACATTATAAACACCTTGTTTCACAGCATTTTGAATTCTAGGATTGACATTATTCTTCAATAGACAATAGCACACCATTCCAACATTTAAAAACACCAAGTTGAGAGATATAATTCTCAAGCCATTGGCCACTTCTCCAATCAGTACATACATTTTCACAGAATTTTCAAGTATAATTATAATTCATCATTTAATCCAGTGCTTAAAACTGATATAAGCTGGGTAGTATATGGATTAAAGGTCAATCTTAACATGAACAAAACCCAAATAAAAACAGGCCATATATGTACACATCCACATTCACAGATTGAAGGTTACTGTAGTCCAGCATAAAAGAACTTTATGTCATGCAATTAATAAATACCTCTGTTATATCCAGATTCATCCTGATTATGCTTTTTCCAATCAGGGATCAATATACATGTATATACTTTACATGTCCCTTCATCAATCTCTATGTTTCTCTCTGACCTAGTGCTGGTGGTTTGAAAATTGGCGCAAAACTAGTAACACAGGATGAAAATAGATAAGTTGTTCTTGGAAGAATTTACTGCACCTATAGATAATTCAACCCTAAACATGTCTGTTAATCAAATGAAATGCTAACAAAATATTACTTTGATGCAGACAAGTATAATGAAACACTTTCAAAATGCAATTTCATTCTGCAGAGTGTAAAGAAACATTAATAAAACACCAACAATGTAATGAAACATTAACAAAATACCATGCCACTCCATCCTGTAAAGTCTTGCATTGATGTTTCATTAAATGCAACACTTTCAAAACATACTAAGAAAATATAAAAGTATAATTTGTTAGTGTTTTGAAGATATTTTGCAAGTATTTTGTTAGATTTCTTTTTCATTTGGGGTCCTCTCCCCCTCCTCATCCTTCTTGAATTGTTACGTGATAGGATAAAAAAAAAGGTGAATTATTTTAGGAACATTATATCAATTGTACAGAATGCATTTCTCAGTTTTATTTTCAGTATAGTGTTTAAATGTGTTATTGTTCATGATTTTAGATAAGTTCATATGACAACCCAATATGTACATTATATGTACACAACTGTAAAGAAATCCTTATGTTTTGTTAATTATGTTTGTTGTCTGTTAATTAAGTTTGTGAATGTTTATTTCAATAAAGCAGGTAATAATATGACTTTATTTCCTTTTAATTTCACAAAAGATACATAGAATATATCAATAAGAATAAAACATAGGATTCAACAATATATAAATATAGCCCTTTGATGAGGTCAATCCATAGATATATCGACTTCACAGAAAAGCATATCGACCGAGCACGAAGTGCGAGGTCGATATGCTTTTCTGTGAAGTCAATATATCTATGGATTGACCGAATTAAAGGGCTACATTTGTTATATTATTTTTTACATAGATTGACAAAACAAATTATGAAAATAATTGGAAAAGTTTTCTCCCTTTAACAATTAGAGACTAGAGATCAAGATAAATTACACCGTTAAATGTAAATGCGTTTCCTTTATATTGATGGAGTGATTTAGACGATTTACTCATTCAGAATACTTCATTTATTTGATTGAGTTTTGTATCAATATTTGACACACATATTGAATATGTTTTAATTAATATGAAGTAATCCTAATCCAATGCCTTCTTTTGTCTCATCAAATAGAGTACATTGAAAAAAAGTTTAGTAAAAGTTGAAATAAATATTTTTTTTTCTAGAAACATCAAATCATACACTGTATTAGCTTTGATTGAATACAGTACTATTTTGTTTCACAGAAATTATCTCCATTTTAAGAAACCTCAAGTCAATATGCATTTCAGATTCTATAAATAGAAACTCAAGTCTTTATGCTGTTATATACTAAATCATGTGATCAAGTTTGAGCCAATCAGAGAGCTGGGGATAAATGATAAAAATAATATAGACTGGTATCATCAGATTTATTGAATACTTTCATTAGGAGGTTGGCTTTACATTTGGTTCTTATTGCAGAGTTTTCCCTCATGTCCTAACACCCACTAATTATCATCCTACTCTTCTAGAATAATCCGTGTAAATTGTCAACATTTAACAGCCATATCTTGTTTAAAGTTCAATACTATGATATCAGAATTATTAACTTGGATTACCAAGTGTTCAATGGGAAGTTTGACAATATTGGATGAAACTGATGAATTTTTAGAAATAAATGATACTACATGTAGTACTACAATGATTCTGAATGTTTTCACCTCATCAATTTTCTCTCGTTATCCAAACAGGCCTAAACCTAAACCATAAACTGAGAAAAGAAACAAGTCCACAATTTGACTGTGAATATCTTGAGGATTATTTAACATATGTGTTTAAAAAGATAAAGAATAGTATTATATTCAAATTCAAAATGTCAAAGTGCTCACCAAGTGTTTAAGATAAGTAAGTTGTCAATATATATTAACTTATTGATACAACTGCTGTTATGCTCAATAACTTTTAAAGGTGCATAGACACACATTTGAATTTAATACTTTCTGTATGATATCACGACTTGTATATATTGAAATATATATTGAAATAACATTTCGAAATTGCCACTTTTCCTATATATTAAGAATAAAATTAAAATTCGTGAAAGTGCAAGGATGTGTCAATCATACCCATCCAAAAATTTAAAGTTTCCATAACTTTTAGATGAAATATGATTTTTAATATATTTTCGTGTGAAATGCTAAATTACAGAATATACGTGTCGTGATATTAAACAGAAAAAATAAAACTTCAAATCTGTGTCTATGCATCTTTAAAATATAATTCCAAAATCAAATACGTATTCTGCAATATGGTTGAAAATTGGGAACAGGTGATCATAACACGTGACCTTGATTTTGTTTGATGTCAAATACTATAAAGTGTTCTTAGTAAATAGCATTTTAGATCTATCTAATATTCAAGAACAAAAACGGGAAAACCTGAAATAAAGTATTGTTTGAAATCGGATTATTCAGATAAGGAAGTTTCGATATTAAAGGGATGAATTGTACAAGATTAAAATTGCACAATTTTATTAAGTGATCGCGTGACAATTCTATTTCATGAATACCCAAAAATATGGTTATATTACTATTAATCCGAGATTTCTCAGACTCTTACCCCTGATTTTATATTCTTCTGCACAAGTCACAATATAAAAGCATGGGTTAGAGTCAGAGGAATCTCGGATTATATTACTATATTCTAAAACAATCTTCTAGTTAAACTACCGGGGTATTTTCCTTGTGCAAGAGACGCAATGTGCATTTTGAGATCATTCATATGTACATGTGTCTTCGCACACAGGTGACAATATTTCGCCTTCCAGACAGATGTATGGTCAGTAACTTCTCCCCGTTGATGAATGGACCAGGAATCAATATTTTAAAAAGGAAACAAGGATTGAAACATAGATTAAGACCTTAATTCAGTTGAAACTTCTCTGGTGCCAAACTTTTAAACCCCACTAAGCACATCAGAATTTGGTCACAAAAGTTATATATTTCTTACTATATATTTCTTACAGAAATTAAGGTTGCTATAAGTAAACAATGTCTTCAAATGATATATTAACCTTTATCCATCATCTTTAAAATGAGCTTTAATCAAATGTTTCCTACTACATTAAAGAGCACAAAATATCAATAACATGTACAAGTTTTCCCCAGTCTGCAAAACTTCCCAGAGGCGTTAGCAAAATCTGTAACGCGCTTACAAACAGACTATGGTACTAAATAGGAAGTTAAGGACAGATGATATAACCAAACTTTTGTCAGATCAAAGACTTTGAAAATAACAACTTGGGTCATGCTTAAATGAGTAAAATGAATAACTTTCACCGCGTACTTTTTAATTTTTAATTCAAATTTCCACAAGAATGGAATTTGAAGTGGAAAATTTTTGTATAGATTAATAACGATGGTTTCAGAAGGGTAGACTTTTGAACATCACAGAAGGTTTACAATTTCTTTATATTCTAGAAATTTATTATTTGCATCATTTGCAATTAAATAATGCTAAAAAATATATACCAATCCAGGCATCCATTTTTTGTTCGTATCATCTGTCCTTAATACATTATTACAACCCGTGCGCATTTAGTTCGTCCCCTAAAAATTCATTAGCAAAGAATCTTAACAAATATTCTTTTCTCATGCGAAAAACCTACGCTTCGGAGTTGAAACCCTCTACGACGCATTACCGAACCCCAACATGCGTCCCTTTACATGGTGAAAGAGGCAAGGAATAACGTTTTTCGGGGGTATAAATGACAAGCTAAAATTTGATGAAAATGAAATGAGCTGCTGAACTTGAACTTACAAAGTATGAGCCAACCTCGTAGATTTGAAACAATATTATTAAGGTTATGTAAAGGTATAGCATGTCTGAAAAAAATCAAACTCGAATAATCTACCAATACCTCTACTTCTTAATTGAAAAATAAAAATAGTTTTTTTAAAAAAAAAAAAAGACTCTTTATTTAATAGCGCATATATAATTTTAATAAATCATACGTGGTTCTTTGAAAGAAAAATTCCATTCCATTCAATTTTTTACAAAAATTACGTAAGACCATTAAACATTCCCTTCCCATAACTAAGTTTCAAACAACATATTAGATTTATCGGTGCTACATGTATTTATAAAAATATATTTTCTCGCTTCTTCAATAAGGCCTCTTTTATCACACAACTTCACGGCCCCCTGGTTGTCTGTAATAGCTCCTTTGCTTCCCTACAGCCTACAGCTTTGCCGGGGTCTGAGTAAGCGCTTTCCGGATTTCCTTGACGACTTTTCCCGCACATCCCCAATGTAACGTCACGCCCGATCCCCCGTGTCTGTAGTTATGTACGATCTAAAAATAAAAATTATAAAAATGAAATAATAAAAATAAAGGAGCGGATCATACAGTTAACTACGTCAGGTTAGATGTGTAATTATGTTATACTTACGAACCATACTTACCATTTTTCCTGTCGGGAGCCTCTGAGTTTCAAGCCGTACCCCGGAACCTCGGTGTGGACGTAGTCCGACCCAGTGTTGGATTATTTCTGCATCCTGCTCAAAGAACAAAATTCAATATTAATGTAGAACTTATGCATCATCTTAAGTTAATATCTTTGCACCTTATTTATGTTAGGGGACTAATGGTCCACATAATCTTTACACCAACTGGTGTTATGATTCAATCCTTGATTGCTTGTTCGTTTTTCGAAATAAATGATACCTTTAGACTTGGTATTAGTTCTAGACAACCCTCCCAAATTGCCTTGCGATCAACGTCATCAATTTTTGTGTTCCAGTTGCCAGTCTGACCAGTTCCGCCAAGTATGACAGCGTCAGATCTAGATAATTACACACAGCACAACATCATTGGGTATTCGAACACGCCATAATAATGAATAATCAAACACATCATAAATAACCGATACCCAAACAGACCATAACAATGGATACATGATAAAATCAAACACACCATAACAATGAATGTCAGTTTCAACGTAATATTCGGTAAATCACTAACTAATCCAGTTCTTAAAATGTGCAAATATTTTTTTTACTGGAGTGTATTCATTAATTCATGTTTAAATGGGTCAATATTAAATGATCAATCAATTAATTTCAAAACTGACAAAATGTTTTTGTGAGAAAAAAGAAAGAGGGCTAGTTTAAAGTCAATGACCCGTTCCTCAAATTTATGTTTTGTATCTGTAGGTATTATATAAAAATTTTTTTTCATATTTTTCATTCTCTTCTGATTTCTACATTGTTTTCAAAATGTTATTAGATATAAATACAACAAAAATTTCGATATACGCCATTCAAAAGATTACCCATTAGGGTTATATGAAATATCTTTTAGGGTCAGTTCAAGTTTAGACATTCATATTACATAGCCCTTCCAGATTTTTATTTCAGGTACCAGTAGCTACTGAGGTCTTAACTGTCTAGCAATATTGTTTCTTAACTAGGACAGCAAGAGAATATATTGTAGGTTCAATACCAAAGGTTGCAGTCATTCGTTCTGACAGACATGGTATCGTTTTTGAAAATGCATGGTGTGGGGTAGGCATAAAAAAAACTGCAAGAAAAATCGCGGAAATTCTCCAAACTCAGGAGGGGGGGGGGGTTAAACATCAGGTTATATTGAGGAAAAATTTGAGTTGGGGATGTCAATCCCCCCTCTCACCCCCCTACCCAACCCAAACCTGATGCTACATGCCTGATTGATATGATTTTACTTTAAAATTATGTGAGCTGTCATAGTGGCTCTCTCTCTAAAACTAGAATTATTATGAGCAAGCTCATAAAATGATATCAATTCTCCTGGTATAACATAAATGTTATTATATCCCCCGCTTGAAAAGCGGGAGGGTATATAGTAATCGTTAATTCCGTCTGTACGTCCGTCCCTCCGTCCGTGTGTTACGCTTTGGGGTACCCATCTCTTAATTGTATCTGCAACTCCTCTCATACCACTGAATGAAATTTGATGAAATTTTCACAGAATCTTTATTACATATTGCCATTGTGCACCTTCTATTTTACTTTTTGATCCGACGCATATTTTGGGTTTTCCAGCCACAGCAAAACATGGACTTTGCCATTATAACTATATGGAAGCGGAGGGTATCATTTAGTGAGCTCATCGCCCACAGTACCTCTAGTTTTTTTATCACAAAAAAGGTCCAAATATTAATTTAAAACCTTTTTAACATTTTGCTACTGCAGATTCACATACCCAAATGACTATGACATATACTCAAGTCATAGGTAGTAAAACTTTTGTGTAGAACACAAACTTCCCAATTTCTCTTCATTCGAAGTTAAAAATGTAAATGTACCAAACTCATATAAAAAACTTTTACTGCAATGACCTTGAAAAAGCTATGTTGTTGAGTCAAGGTCAAACGTGTCCAAAAGAATTTTTGGTCAAGGTCATGACAAACCCACAGCTCAAATAATAATCCCCGAGATGAAACTTTAAGTGTTTTCATTAGAATATTACAGAATGGGCAAAGATTGCACTATTCTTCTACCAATGACCTTGAACTTGTTCAAATGATCTTGGGTCAAGTTTTGGACACATCTCCAGATCATAAGCAATCTTAATATCAAGTATGAACTTTCAGTGGCGCTTCATTGAAATGTAATGGACAAGTCAAAATTTTACATACATATGGATATGTGACAAGGTGATTCCTATAACCCCCCCCCCCTTTTTTTTATTTCCTAGTTTCTTTTGTGAGGTTTATAAATTCGTTTTGAAATTTAATGTGCATTTATTTATCAACAATAGTAAAATGATGAATATGCTTTGATCAGACCAATATGACCAATATAATGGACACTGTACATGTACTGTAGACGTCTTTAATTTCACGTGTCTAAAATTTCACGGTTTTTTGGAAAGCTACCTTTCACGGTGGTTTTAATTTCACGGAGAATCGTTTGTAAATATTTATTTACTCTTCATATTTATTTACTCTTAATATGACTGTTTCTGTGTAGAAATGACGTAAAATAATAATCAAGATGGTTTAAAGTTCGCGGAAAATTCTTAAATCGTGAACATAGTGAAATTAAAAACACCGCAATGTTTTCCACTTCTACAGTATTCAATTTACCCCAACCCCTTCAAAAAACCTTATAAATGCCAGATTGTCACACATTTTAACCATTTGTAACTTTTTGCTACTAAAGTTGCCTGCAAATTTTATTGCATAGATATGACATATAGATAACCCCTAACAAGATCACAGCATTCATTTTTCCATCTGTGGTTGTAGATTTTGTGTATATAGTGATAAACATATGTAATTTTTTTCAAAATTAATAAGCATTAACGCCATGTTCTTTTCCCGTTGTCATGGCAACAGTATCACTGCAGAAATTTTGTTTTTCCTATTTTTAAAAAATAAAGTAATTCCATCTTTCAACAAATAAAGTAACCAAATTACCTGATCTTATCACGTTCAGAAAACATTTTCATAGAAAAATGTCTAAAAATCATTTATTTTCATAAGGATTTATGAGCCCGTTGATAAGGAAATGAATTTCCTTGGATACCAGTCCCTTCATACATTCAAAAAAAAATTTAATTGTGTTTTAGCATTAGGTAGGACAAATTCTTTTTTTTAACACAAGAGGCCCAGGGGCCACAGCGCTCACCTGAGCACATTGGGCTTGAATTTAACCCCCCCCCCCGAGGCATTCATCATTTGAACAAAATAGAATCTTCACAACCTGAGGATCATTCCATATAAATATCACTAATCATAGCTTAGAAGTACTTGCAAAGAAGATTTTAAAAGGTTTCCCTATATATCCCTATGTAAAACTTGGGTCGGCCATTTTGGCCCCACCCTAGCCCCAGGGGTCATCATTTAAACAAACTTGAATCTACACTGCCTGATGATGATTCCACATGAGTTTCATCTTTCCTGGACCAGTGGTTCTGGAAAAGAAGATTTTTAAAGATTTTTCCTACATATTCCTATGTAAAACTTGGGTCGGCCATTTTGGCCCCACCTTGCCCCGGGGGTCATCATTTGAACAAACTTGAATCTACACTACCTGAGGATGATTCCACGATTTTCATCTTTCCTGGCCCAGTGGTTCTGGAGAAGAAGATTTTTAAAGATTTTTCCTATATATTCACATGTAAAACTAGGGTCGGCCATTTTGGCCCCATCCTAGCCCCGGGGGTCATCATTTGAACAAATTTGAATCTACAATACCTGAGGATGTTTCCACATGAGTTTCATCTTTCCTGGATCAGTGGTTCTGGAGAAGAAGATTTTTAAAGATTTTTCCTATATATTCCTATGTTAAACTTGGGTCGGCCATTTTGGCCCCACCCTTGTCCCGGGGGTCATGATTTGAACAAACTTGAACCGATACTACCTGAGGATAATTCCACTTAAGTTTCACATTTCCTGGCCCAGTGGTTCTTGAGAAGAAGATTTTTAAAGATTTTTCCTATATATTCCTAGGTAAAACTTGAGTCGGCCATTTTGGCCCCACCCTTGCCCCGGGGGTTATGATTTGAACAAACTTGAATCTACACTACCTGAGGATGATTCCACATGATTTTCATCTTTCCTGACCCAGTGGTTCTTGAGAAGAAGATTTTTTTAAAATGCCATTAATTTTTCTCTAATTCATAATTATCTCCCCTTGGAAAAGGGTGTGGCCCTTCATTTGAACAAACTTGATTCCCCTTCACCCAAGGATACTTTGTGTCAAGTTTGGTTAAAATTGGCCCAGTGGTTCTTGAGAAGAAGATGAAAATGTGAAAAGTTTACGACAACGACGACAACGACAACGACTACGACAACGACAGACAACGGACAAATTTTGATCAGAAAAGCTCACTTGAGCCTTTGGCTCAGGTGAGGTAAAAAGCTTTTGAAAAAATAAAATTTTGACTTTCCATTCAATGCTCGATGCTTGCTGATTTTGACTCTTAAAAACAATGTACGCAAATTACCGTTTATTCTCCTATGTTAGAGAGCTATACCAAAGGGAGGTAATTTGAAGAAAAAGTTACAGAAAATTATGGCTTTAAATCAGTTATCATAGATAAATGCTTTAGTTGCCTGCAGATTTTTTCTTGATTCTTCTAGAACAAATACTGTTTAATAAATATTTTATGTTGATAAGCTTTAATGTGGTTGTAGATTTCTTATAAACTACTTCAAATTTGGTTTTTTAAAGCAAAATAAACCTCCAAAAACTACTTATATTTATCAAAAGGTGAAGAGAATTTCAAAAATCAACAGTTGCTAAAATAGAGTACATTTTTATAAATAAAATAATAATTTAAAAAGCTTTTTTTTAATGACTAGTAATAAAAAGTATTTGTTTAACCATAAATTCAAGTGTCATGACAAAGTACAGAACACGCTATCTAAAAGGCGCGTGGTTTCCATAGCAACAATGCGAAAAATTATTTTTTGCATGCTTTTTTCTATCATACCCTTTGTTCTGAAAATTTATATATGAGTTTTAACCAATTGTGTTTCTATGCCACTTTCCACATTTTTTAACTAAATGCTCGATGCATGCTGATTTTGACTCTTAAACAGAAAATATAAAACTTTAAATATGTGTCTATGCATCTTTAAAATATATATACTGCAATATGGTTGAAAATTGGGAACAGGTGATCATAACACGTGACCATGATTTTGTTTGAAGTCAAATACTACGGTTTGTAAACTATAGTTTACAGTCGATAAACCTAGTTTATCAATTGTGAAACTAGGTTTAGCTCATTTTTGTGAATTTGGCGTGCCATAATAATGTGTTCTTAGTAAATAGCATTTTATCTAATATTCAAAAACGGAA